GCTCGCCCCGGGTCCCTCCAGCCCCAGGCGCCCGCCCGCCGAGGGGAACGAACCCTTCTCCACCACATAGCAGGGACCTGGCCAGGCGGGTCGCAGGTGCCCCGGGCAGGCGGGGCGGGAGGCTGTGGCCGGGGTCCTGCGCGGAGTCGCCTGCGAGGGGTCCGGAGCGAAAGCCGGGCTGCGGGATCCCTGCTCCTGGGGCGACCCCGGGAGTATTCGTTGTCCTCCGCGGCCTCTGCAGCCCGGCCCGCCTCCCACATCACCGGGCCAGGGCCAGAGGCTGCCCCTGTGGCTGCCGCCGCCTAGCAGGACCCTGGCATCTCGTCGGTTCTTGCGGAAGATCCTGCCCCTCCCACCCGGACTGTCCCAATAGTATGATCCCCTCATCCACCCACCCAAAGAAACCCGTTCAAGGAGCGACAGAAATACGAGGCAGTGGAGGAAGACGGGAAGAGGAGGAAAGGCAGAGGATCTGATGTCTAGGCACCCTGGTTCTCTTGCGAGAGTCTGATTTTCGCCTGCCATGTGAAAAGATGCAAGGAGAAGGAGAATCGGCAGTCAGATTGCCATCGAGGCACCACTCCCCCCCCCCGCAAGCCCTATCTCGGCCCCCGAAGTAGGGGCCGGTCCTAAAATAATTGAGAGAGGAGAAACTGAAGTGATAATGAAAAGCCCAAGTCTTCCGGTGAATGCCACGTGGCCCTGTAGATTCCCGCAGAGGTGCAGGCAGCCCGGGGAGCTAGCTGTGCACCAGCGCTAACAGCCCCTTTCCCCTGGGTTGGCCCGTTCCCCGCACGTGTGTCCGCTCTGCGGCGGTTTGAACAGTCTGTGGCGTCATAAACGCAAGGAATCGATTCGTCTGTGGCGTCATAAACTTATGGAATCGTCGCCGGGTTCATTTTCTTCCAATTAAAGCAAAAACCAAAAGGTGCCTTTTTATGCCTAGAACCTGACAGAGCCGATCCCGGGAGGTTCAGGTTAGCAGATGGACGGGTGCAAACTCCTGGGAGTAACAGTCCCTGTTCGAACTTCCCACCTGGTCCTCTGGATTACTGCGGGGTGCGCTTTAACCAGCAGTGGGAACATTATTTATTCCCCGCTGGTAGCACCTTCCACGCAGCCCCGCTAGCAATTTATCTGCCACGGGAGATGGACACAATATGTCCCTCTAAAATCTTCCTAGGTGACTTTTATTGGCCTTTAAAAATAACCTTTACAATAATCTCGGAGGTGCTGCAAGCTATTTACATCGGCACTGTTAAACAGCTGGAGAGTTATTTCTGTTAACCACGAGCGTTTCCTGAACGGTAACGTTGTCAGCTGGAGTCCAGATCGCTCCCTCCCCAGTGAGAAGAGAGTCCTCGTCCGATTTGGAATCTCCCGTATAACACTTCAAATGAAAGTCTTCCACTCCTCAAGGCAGAGGTAATGGCTGTCACGACACACAGTCAGAAAGAACTTGCTGGGGAAAACCAATAATCACCGATCGCATTGGGATGCGAGAGGGAGAGGCGTTTTTCATGTTATTTTTCACTCCTTTATTTCAAAGTGCTTTCCCCGCTTCTCCGTCTCGTTAAATCAGCAATGCCAGTGTGGTGGGATTCAAAAACGCTTATAGCCATAGTGAGAAAGACTCTCTGGGTGCCGCCTTCGGAGCCCTTCGTTTTTGCCTGCCAGATCCCGTCCTCAGACACACCCGTGTGGCCCCACAGGTGCCTCTAGCAGGGTCCAGATAACACCTCGGTTGCACCAAGGTTATTAGATGTCATCTTCCTGATGGCAACGAGTGTGACTGAAGAGAGAGTTTTGCCCATCATGGTCTAGATACCTCAGCTACTAAGTGTGTTCCTGGGAGCAGCACCTCGGAAATATTCGTTGGCTTCAACAAGCCCGCAAAAGACCATCACCCCTTAGTTCAATCCCACCTCCCCATTAGAGTACAATGCCAGCCGCTCCCTTGTGTCACAGTTTCTCCCAGGGTTGGGAGCAGTCATGAATTTCTGCCTAATGTCTTTAGAGACGGGAAGCACCTTTAAAAAAAAAGCCTTATCTCACTTTGGTTCAGGTTTCTCTATCACTCACACACACACGCGCACACACACACACACACACACACGTGTGTGTAATAGAGAAACCTGAACCAAAGGGAGCAGATACCTTTTTTTTAAAGCCTTGATTCCCTTCTCTCTATATATATTAGAGAATTATTTACACAAATACATACATATATATCTTCATATATAGATTCCCTTCTCTCTATATATATATTAGATAATTATATATCTCTCTATATATGTATGCATATGTATGTATATATGTATACATATATATATGTATACATATATAGATATATGCATACATATATCTGTATACATCTCTCCATATATAGACATATATAGATATATGTATACATACCTCTTTCTCTCTTTATATGGATATATATATGTGTGTGTGTGTGTGTATCTGTGTGTATATAAAATGTGTATATATAAAATTCTCTAATAGGGGTGTGATTGTGTATGCACACGTATATATACACCCTCCATATATTAAAGAATTCTATCTATCTATCTATCTATCTATCTATCTATCTATCTATCTCAAGTTTGCTCCGAAAAGGATGTCTTCACTACAAGATTCAGTGAAGCAAAGACATCTAAGGAGACTAAGGAAACTTTTGATCCTGCAAAGAGAAATCCAGCCAGTTGATCTCCACGGTATGGTTACTACGCAAATAACCATGCACCGAATTGATGAGGGAAGAAAAACCTTAAGGACTAGCAGTCCTCCACGGGATCCGCCTGTTTCACTTGTTCTGATTGTCCCCGGTAATCACACGATGAATTTAGGCATCTCTACTTGTGCGCTCATTTGTGCCCTGGACTCATAATACGCACGGGTGGCTTGGCCAAGTCGAGGAGCGCAGCAGAGAGGGGGAGACGCCATGTGGAATCTGGAGCCCCCGCGCTGAAGCCCGGGCCCGCCGGAGCGCTGCGCTGCGCGGGTGCGGGCGGGCTCCCGTGGTCGGGGGCACCAGTTGCAGCGCAAACACAAGCCGGCGCGGCGGTCAAACGAGTTGTTCCTGGCTGTGGAGAAACAAACAAACAAACAAAAAACCCCTCCCTTTTTCCTGACGTCCTCGGGTCAGCATCTCTGTCATTGAAAAGGGGAAGCAGCGCTATTAAATACACCCATAATGAAAGGGGCACCTGCGAGCAGTCCTACTGCATTTCGGGCACTGCAGCCCCCCCCGCTTTGTGGTTCAGGACAGCTCCTTAGTGGAGTCCTCTTCTGCCTTGGCTCACTACCAAGCCCCTGGTTGTGGGAGCGGGTGCTGGAGGGGCAGGGGCATTGCTGCTCTAGGCGGGCTGTGGCCGGGTCGTGCTGGCGCCTGCCGAGAATCAGACCCCAGGGCAGGTCCGGGGGATGTCGAGTGGAGACCGCCTGGGCAGTGCGCTGGTGCCCCCGGGGTGAAGGAACTCCCTTCCCACAACATGGAGCGAGGGCTCGCAAACCAGGCGCCGGAGGAGCCTATTTCTTCCTCCTGCCAGAGCAGCAGGAGCCTGGCGGGTGCGTGATCCGGGCTGGGCCATCCCCTCGGGCTCCGCAGGGCCCGGCAGGACAAGGCACTTCCCGGCAGAGCAGGGGCCGGCGTTGCCCCGCCGTGAGCAGGCGGCAGCTTTCGGTTTCAGTGAGAAGCCTGGTTACTGTTTAACATCCCCACCCACGTTTCAGTTTGTTTAGTAAATCGATCTGAGGCTGGGGCTCGGGCTGCTGCCCTGTCGCCATTGAGCGAAGTGAATATCCCCTGTAGAGCACACACTAACGCCGGTGCAAGCGAAACCTAAAGGCTCCAGGAGTAGGGACGGGTCAGGGCGGGGGGAGAAAGGCATGCCAGGCGCCCGAGGGCGGGTGGGAGTCGGCCCCCGGGAGCGCGTGCTGCTGGCGCCGGAGTGCCTGCGTCGGCCGCCGCCGCCCTGATGTGCCAGAGCGGCGGCGCGGGAAGCACGGGAGCGACTCTGCCCGGCAGGTAAGTTGCACTTGTGTCAGCGCCACTGGGAAGAGCTCGGCCCGCGCGCGCCCGCCTGCCCCTCCCGCCGCCGGCCCACCCCGACCCCGAGCCGCCGCTTTATTCGGGGTTGCAAAGCCAAGTGCCAAAGCAGACTTCAGTCCGACTGCGCGAGGGGAGCAGTTCCTTCCCATTTCTGTATCGATTTGGAGAGGGTCACGACGCGCCTCTCTCCTCAGTGATGTGAAGACCTCCCTCTTTAGAGGGCCGTGGGGGCCGGAGGGGAGATCGCGGGGCTGCGAGCGCTGGGCTTTTTCTTCTGCCGGTGGCTAGTCCCCTAGAGAGCACGTCGGGATGATCTGGAGAACTGTCAAGGGTTTTAGTTTTTGTAGTTTAAAAAAAAAAAAAAGAAAAGAAACGTCCCTGTCCACCCAAAGCTCTGTGTGTCACCTTCCTCAGTTCTGCCCCTTTCCCAGTGAAGCACGTTGGTTCGTTGTTGTTGGGCTGGGGAGCCTAATAGGGCTTGGCAATTACTGAGTGCTTTGTCAGGGGAGCCTGAAGCTTTCCAGCTTTTTAAAAAAAGATAACAGTATTGTGGCATTCCTTGCAAAGGCCCAAACCCCAAGAATGACCTGGATTTCACAGCCCCCTCCTTATCAAATTGTAGGGCCTACCAGAGTTTCCAGCTCACCTATGCAATTTTAAAGGAGAATAGGGGAATAAAAACCTGTGACACTAACTTTCATTCCTGATGCTTGGCTTGGGAAATATGTTAAAATATTATAAGCACACACTATGCTACAAACACAACCCATTTTTCAAAGGCATTTTCACATCTGGCAGAGCCAATAATGCATAATAATTGAATAAGCCATCACCAACCCTCTTTGGGTAGCCTGTCTCAAATTGCTATTGCTTGCATATGTATTACTGAGGAGTTGTGATTTTTCCTATATATATTATGTAGCCAATATAGAATTTAAAGTGCCATCTACATAATTATTAATTACATACAGGACAATTCACTTAGTGAGTCAGACTGATCATGTTAAACAGTTTTTCAAGGTCAGACTTTAGAATGCACTAAAGAGTTACTGAGAAAACTATAAAGAACTAAATAAATACTGTGCACTATGATGGAGCTCATGCAACAAGCACAGAATAAAAAGGAAACATTCAGTTATATCCAGGGGTTGATGAAGTATTATGAACAATACATTAGTCCTCCCCTTCTTTCTCTCTCCCATTTTTGATTTTTATTACATTCGTGATTCTTTTGTAACACCATCCACATTTCCCATCATTCCTTGATGTCTTTGAAGTTTTGAGTAGGAGAAAAGAAAATGTTTAAGAGTGCTAGTTTCATCGTCTGGTGCTCAGTTCCCTGTCCCTCTCCTCCCCCTCTTGCTGATGCACACCAGCCCTGCCTGAGGCTCACCTCATACACATTAAAAAAATCAGGTGTAGTACAAGATCATGATGCAGTTCTCTTGCTCAGAACATTACCTTTCATTTCTGCAGCTCACACATTTGGAGCATATAAAATTCTCTGCACTGGCTCCTCAACACTCCTCAGCACAAAGCATTACTCTCCCTACAGCTTATTTTCTATGAGAACAGGGTAAATTCTCATCTCTTCTGTGAATTCACACCAGCCTGAATCCAGTTCAGCTCATAGGCCCACCACGCTAGTTTGCTACAATTCCTTTGTGCACAGAGAAACCACAAAAAACTTCTGAACTTGGTATTTGATATAGGAGGATGTCCATGTGGCAAAGAGTTGACAGAGCAGTGGACCTCTCCCCTTCCCTTCCCAGTAACGCCAGTATAAAGGGCATAGCTGGGGAGAAAAAAGGAAGCATGACTAGAGGATTTCTGTGACCTGGAAATCCCAATTTGCTCGGCTAGTCTCTTTGGCCTCTGCAGTTAGGTTTAAATCACAGCATCCCTGATGTTGCTTTAGTTTATATTTGGGGATAAATGGGGTCCTGTCCAGACTCTGGAAAAGGACATTTCAAGATAGAATAAAGCCATGTTTCATCAGCTTCCTCGGGTTTTGTGCCTCGTCTAGCGTGACTGGACATGAAAACTGGGGATCATATTCTACTCTATTTCACTAGCATATTTGAAAATAATTTTGTCTAATTTGTCATTTATAAAAGCAAAGGAGATACTGTACTTAAAATTTCTTCTTGCCTGGAGCTTATGAACTGAATCCTTCTTGGGTTGTGAACACCCTACTCTTTCATAGCCTCCCTCTGGATGCAGTCCACACTTTTCAGAATAGATCCTGAGTGAGAAAGATTCAGTACACATCCTCAGTGTCACATGTCCTTATGTGCAGCATTTTATATATCCGCCTCCTCTGGCTCCTTGTCAGCTATGGGGAAAACAAAAGGCTGCCTTAGGCTTGTACTATTCTTTTATAATATATGAATCCACCAATAAAATCAGACATACCTTTTTAAGATGTTCAAGAATTAGTAATGCAGGACTTGGGATTTTGATTTTGTAATACTTATAGTAAAAAGACTGTGCTAAATAGGTAATTTCTGAGTAGTTGGTAAAACATTATAATTTTCTGTTTGGGGGGGGAGGGATTGTATTAGATCAAGAATGGAAAAAAGTATAATAATGTGATAGTTGATTTAAGAATGAATCATTGAGAAACCTAAGTGAATCATTATAGAGAGCTTTTGCCCTCTGTAAAAGTCGGCAAATGTACTCGATTTGTTAATCTATATACCTGTGCTGTAGTCTATATATACTTTACCCTTGTTTCCTTTGTTTGTCTCTCTACCCACAGGTACTACACAGTGTTGTATTATTGTATTGTAACTATTTCTGGCAAAACAGCTTTTGGACTGGTTATTTGATCTTACTTGTTCTGCTATTCTGGGATCAGACAACCTTTATGCTATTGAAAGTTAAAGATCCTTCCCTAGCTAGAGTTACAGCATATACAGTTTTAAAGATTGGTTGAATAATTTCTTTTAACCTTTTATTTAACTGAGGAACTCAGTTGTCTGGACAGCCTTTTTTTTGTTCCATAAGTACAAGAAGAGGTGAAAAGGTCTTCACTATAATGACATTAAGTAAGAAATTTAGCAGTTACATTTCCTATATCTTGCGTAGAATTATGTTAATTGCTGTTCAGTATATGATGGATGAGTTGTTCTTC